TTTTAATGTCAGTAATACTAGTACGCGACCGTGGCCACCATTAGCTCTTACTTCGTCCTATTAACTGAACTGTAACAGATAACAGCATCTACTATTCGTTTTTTTTCTCCTCCCTGAATTTTTCCGGTCGGTCCTTAAGTTCCCAAAATTTTAGTGCTTAGGTGTACTGGTAGAGAGTACTTAATGGTAAATCAGGTAGCCGGCCGTATGTTCGTCAGTCTAAAAGGGCAATTAAAAAAAATTATGGAGCGAACTGTAATCCAACACAACCGTGCCGGATTAAAAACTACAGACCTACAATTACGTTGTACCGAGAATAAATTTAATTTACATCAAATAGATTACGTTTAAAAGACAATCGCTATTGCGAGTCCGATGTCAGAAAAAAAACCAACCTTGATTTCTAAACACGAGACAGCAAAAGTTTATTATGAGCGGAGTATTTTAAATGACAATCGACAAGGTCAAACGTTCTCTTCGTCCCTATAATTTCCCGGTAACTGTTTACCACACATCCGGCTTTCAACTAAATCATTTTATAATTCAAAACTCATGTATTGTTATCCCTATGGCCGTAGTGCTACCACCCTATCTATTTTTTCCAAGCTGTATTGTACGAAGCGCCATTGATCGAGGTTTGACAGCTATGGCAGTCGCGTACAATTGAGACTTCAGTATCTCAAAGTAAGTACCGCATTCACATTGTGACTTCTATGGCCTCCGGTAATTGGTTAATACCAAATGAACCGTGTAGATCTCTTCACCTCAATAGACAACTATTGTTTTTCCATGCTGCATTCAAAATGTTGCTAAAAACTCAATATTACGAATAAAATTTACTATTACTAATATCATCTATAGTCTATACTAATATATAAATCTACAGTGGTTTTTAAGAATGTTCCGTTATAACTACTGAACCATGCATTCGATTGACTTGAAACTTGGTATCCATGTAGAAAATACATGTATTTAATGTATAGGCTAATATTTATATGAGTGTTGGACTCCCTAATAATAATGACAATAAATAATAATTTTAATTTTAAATGCCAAACGAAGCGGGCGAGTACGGCTAGTACTATCTAAAGCTACAGCCATTTGGCGACTAAATAAAAATATTCTTTTTTTTTATAGACAAGCAAATGTGAAAAGAATTCTGAATAATCAGGGCGACCTTTCGACCTTCCAAACCATTCGATACGCTGTACGACCGGATCACCGACGTAATTAAGTACTCGACATATTATTTAGCTGAATAGCAGGATTGTTTTACGCCTGGAACCGACACGAAACACAGTCACGGTGACGCCGCACTGGCCGTTTATCGACAAAGTTGGCCTATACAAGTGCACTCGCCTGGAAAGTTCGAGGCTCTTTTACGTAATGCGCCCCACATAACGCATTTTCGCGCCGATTCATTACGCTCCAGGCGACAGTAAAACTGACCTACTGAGTTACTGATCTTCGTCTCCAACTAGTGATACTCATTTTTACTGTAAAACTTTTTTCTGTATTCGTGTACTGAAAGTGGAAACTCGATTTGGTCGACTCATAAAACTGACGAAATTTTTTGATTTTTCTTTTTTATGTTTCTAAAGTTATCTAAAAATTTAATGAACCAAATTAAAGCGAAGTAATTTTTTAACATCACTTATAAGCTACCATTAATGCTTTTCAAATCGTTATTGTATATTTTATTAGATTATCGTTTTACATTTTGTAATTACGGGCCGCTATCAGAACTTTACGATTTACTTTGAATTACCATAATTCATTATAAATTTTAATACCAAATACTAAATTCTTTCACTGGGCGCAATCCAAGAAAAATTGGTTCAGTTTATTTGGGCTTCTAGAGAATAATCAAAATCATAATCGAACTTTAAATGACAACGATACCTTAGATGTGCCAAAAAAAATTTAATTTGTACATTACTGTTGAAGATTTGAATTTCTATGACATCTGGCAACAAATTCGATTCCATCTCACGAGGATAGAGCTCCGTGAGCTCAGCTACTCGTTCGCTGAGTCAAGTATGACCCTTCGAAATCACTAGAATAGGTAAGCAAAAAAAATCACCATCACTTGTGAGTATTAGTCATAGAAGGAGCCAAATCCTTCCTACCGTAAAATTCTTTTTGAAGCTTCTATTGAAAAGACTTGTTAATATTTTCATATGTTTTTTATGATTGAGAGACTACTGGTGGCCCGGAGGCTTTCTAGTTTCACCAGGACAGGTGGGCGAGCAAGAAAAGGAGACCTAAGAACTCATTGTCATATATGTTAACTACAGATTTATATGGCAACTTTCAGTTCGATAATCCTGGGAATACTTGAATCCTAGTTAGCAAAAATAAACTAAGTAGATGGCGTGATAAAAAGACCATTCATGTAGGGTATCTTTAATTAAACACATTTATCTAGAGTATAGTATTGATATTAATTAACGTTTCGATCAGTTTTATAAAAGCCTACTACATGTTTTTTTCTCTCTTCAGATTTAGTCACTGATATATTTTATTCTTCTTTCTCTTTTTCGACTTCCTTCATATAGATTTAAGTCTTTCTATCTAGATGTGGTAGTGGCCTTCTTAGTCGCCATAATGGTTTTATTAATTACATGCACGATAGACATAAGTCTAGTTGTTTCTTTACCTAACTACCGTTTCATTATAATGATATGTTATACCTACCTAGATGACGTTAATATAATTAGTAAGTTAATTCGATTGTTACTTTATATAGATTTGCAGAACGACGGGCGTACCGAATAATTGAAAGACGTGGTTGTAGCTTGAGTGTATTGATTTTTTTTTTTCTTTATTTCATCAGAAAACTTCACGACCCACCTGATTTAAGCGGTTACACTCCATAATGAATGCCACCGCAGCCTTCAATACATATTATTCAATTGGCTTTTCAATAGTGACTGCTCTGCCCATCAACCAGAACGCATTAGTGCTTCGGGACAGGATTCGGCAGAATCGTGCTATAAAGCAAGACCACAAAAAAAGCCCCCACGGAATAATCGATCGCCTTAAAAATATAATTACTATTATTTTGTTGTCGGCATTCTTATTTCAGTATTTCAAGTTATCTGTAATACGAAAAGCGTTTCACATACTACTTATATGAAAATAAAGATAATCGAGATAAATCTTTTTTCCGAAAATATGTAAGTATGCGACCTTTAAAAATCAGTGCGAAATAGTCTTCGGATAAAACGTTTCCATAATCGAAAAAGAATCGCAAACTTTAATTATTGTCATGCGCAATACGTCTGTTCCACAAGAGCCGAAAATTTTAAACATACAACAAAGTAACTAACTGCATCAAAATAGTACCTATAAATGATTGCGTACAATTATACACGATTTTGGACAATAGCCCGGCATATTATGCGCATACGATATGAGTTCGTGACATCGTAATTAAAAGATTGGTAGTATAGTCATTTTTTTCTACATCGTGAACAATGAAATATTTTATGAATAGCACAAAGAACGATCTAGTATAAACAATGTTAAGAACAATAGATATTCTTTTAAAATAAATTATTGATATGATGATCTTGTATAGAGATTTTCGTGACATGAGGCTAAAATCGATTTCTTTTTCGCTTCATGGACTCGTGACGGTTTTTAGCGCGTAAAATCAGTGTGGTCGTGGCGCCAAAAAACGCGCAGTTTTTCCAAAAATCGCTTGAAAGCAATGGATAAAAAAACAACACTAGTCTATAAATTAAGACTTTCTTTAAAGTATGTTTGCCAATATTATGTTGAAATTTGGCAAAAATCACTGACACCTCATATTTACGCTCATTTTATGCATAAAAAAATACATTAGCCTTTTATTGTTATTGATTTTTTTCATTCAAAAAGGAAAAAAAATTGAATATGTTTATTACTAGTAACATTAAATATAGCAAAAAAGGCAAATAGGTTGACAGGACTAAAAAGTAATGTTTTATCTTTTCTTATTATTCAATGCTTTCTAACTAGGATAGTGTTCCAAAGTTATTCTTATAACACACTTAAAAATTTTCTTTATTCACCGTTTTTTTTTATCTTTGACATTATTCTTCCGCATAATATAACATGAATAAATTATTGCATAAACTGCTCAGAGCATCTGTGATTCATAATTAAATTTTATGTAATATAAAAATATTCACTTTCATTATATTCATTATAATAATGTGTTTTCAGTTTTCCAGTCATATGTAAGTGGTAGTACAGTAAGTAGATATATAGCACATAACAGTTATTTAAATCAGTCATTGCTATCATTTTCATTACTTATTATTCATTCTAACTTATAGTTGAATGTGGTGAAATAATGATAATTAGGCAAGTTACGATGACCCCTGACAATATTATCAGTTCTGATAGTTTATTGACATCTTTAATATTCTAACTGTAATTTAAACTTCAATTCGATAACATATTATTTAGTTTTATTATTAGTATTATTGTATTATTTATGCAATAAACTATATTTGGATTTAAATGTTAATGCTCTTGAAAAATAATTGATCAGATTATTGAAATTATTAATACCTACCCTCTGTAAATTAAAATATTCTGGGAAATAATTTTATACATTATTTTAGGTTTATAAAGAACTAAATACAAAACTGGTAACCATATAAAAAAATACGATGTCGTAAGACCGGTACAGATTGCTCAGAAGTCACTTCCTTGATACCAAGAGCAAACAACTTTCGCTGGTGAGTGACGGGAGCGCGGGCGCAGCTCGCCAGCACGCGCCTTCACGACACCGCCGAAACATTATCAACACCCGCATGAACTCTTTACTGGTCAATTACATCTACTTTGTAGTTACGCAAGCCTCCGGAATAGTTAGCAATGCATTCATTCAGGCCATCACAGTGTAAATAAAAACTCGTCCGTAGGTTAATTTTTTATGTACTAAATATTCCCATAACAATTATGTACATTGTGAGTAACGTACTCCAACGTAGAAAAAATCTTACCGTTTTGTTTATAGCCACTGAATCCCAAACAAAATAAAACTGTCACTCACACGTTTTTACACTAATATTCACCTCTTGACATACGACATTGTTCAAAGAAAATCAGCGGAACTTACGTACGTATTTCACCATTAAAATTCGATACAAAAGCCACTGTATAAAAACAATAGGACACAACAAAAGTTGTTAAAACCGATCGCAAAATAATGATAGTACAAAACGTAAACAGTCTACCTACTTTGACAGAACCAGCCGACAAACTGACGTCTGACACTAGACTCGTGATTGCCATTTGCCAAATGCTAAAATCACTTTCACCTTCAGTGTACAATCAGATCTGTTCTTACCTTGACAGAAACATTTATTGAAAGAAAGATATCTTGCCATGAGTAACGGTACATAAAATTTAACAAGGCCGTTGCACTTCTTTTTACAGAAATTGATTTTTTTCTTTATTATTTTGATTGAAATGAAAAAAAAAACGTATATTTGCCTGCGTGAACCACGATAATTTAAGAATGTTTTGCGAAAACATATGCATTTTATTTTAAAATAAGACTTCGATAATGCTTTCCTTTGGCGACTATATATGATTTTTTTTATCAAACATAATATTAATGAACTATTTCGTAGTTTCTAAATTGAAAATTGGATTTTCACACTTTTCTTTTTTTATCTGACAACATTGTCCTATGTCTGTCACTTTTCGTCATCATCAGTGATCTGTCATCCTATTTTGATTGTCTGTTTTTAGTGTAAAAATACTGTAGAGAAATAATTAAAACTTTCCTTTGTGTTGGTGATACATTGAAAACTAAATAATAGTGCCGAAAACTTAATAAAGATGTCTAAATTTGAAGACAATCCGTTTAGTGACCCAACCATAGACAATCCTTTTGCAGTACGTATAATATGTTCGGTAAATGAAATATTAAAGAAATGAGTTGTTTCGATTGAAATGACTATATTTCTGTTGTTTCGTAGGATCCGTCGGTTCAGCAAGTTGCGCGGAGTACAAACAATGCTACACGTGGTTTAGAAGACTACAATCCTTTCGACGGCCAACAAAATGTTAATCAAGCCACGGTAACCGATCTTATTAGTCATGATTATTGATATTCTTGTAGGTGGTAGCTTAGCGGCAAACAAACGGGACTGACCTCTTAGAAGCGCACGTCCGAACTTGTTATTATTAATGAGACAGAGACCTTGAATAAGACAAAATGAGAGACTGAACGTAAAAAAATATTTAATAAAATTTAATAAGCAATTACGTCTAGAATAATAAAAAGAATAAAAGATGAAGAATATAATATTTACTAATACATAATTTTTAGTTTGACAAACTTATTAAAATTAGAATCCGCTTGAATTTATTCGTTTGTGCTTCATTCCATAGTTCCAAATTAACAAGCTGCTTAAAAATCATTCAATAATTTTTGAACAAAAAGAATATTAAAACCAGCCAAAGAAGAGGGAGGACATGCTCTTTAAAAAAAGACAATAAACATTTCCAGTAATAATATAATAAATAGTATTTGTTTTATTCAAAATTCTTATATATACCTTCAAAATTTTTAATTATATGTATGTGATGTATCAGATGTATTTGATGGTGTAGTTGGTTGAGAACAAGGACCAAAATAGAATAAAATTTAGGTTCTTGAAATTTCAAAAGTCAGTGGGATCATGGTACAAAATTAGTACCCTGGATCTCTTTGAAAAATTATAGTTAGAAATATATTTTAAAAGGAAATTGTATAAATACAAATGGTTAAAATCGAATAAATCTTTGATCATGATTAGTTCTAGATCAGGTACAAAAATGTTGCAAATTTCTCACTTGGGAAGAATTGGTCAACAGAGCCCATCGCCATTGAAAAATTATTTCAGCCACTTAACTATAAAAATCAACATCAACATTGTATTCTAAAATTGGTTGTCTCATCTTTAAACTGGAATTATTTACAGTGATATAATAGAAAAACAAAATATACTATGGTAGAAAACATGTCCATATGAGTTCATTAGACTTCCACCAATTATTCTGTGAAACTATAAACTTTGTAGTTGCCTATTTAAAAATTATATCTCTTCACTGTTAATGTTATCTAGCTTTAAAATTCGGAAAAAACTGTGATATTATCAGAGAGCACTTCAAATGTATGACTATATATTTTATATACCAACTTCAAATATGTGTTGAATGCAATTAGTAATTTAATGTTAGTAGTCTACCTATCTTTGCTAAAACTTCCAAACTATAGCTGGAATGAACAGGAAGAATACTTGAATGGTCGATTACCACTTGGAACAGTCTTTGTTCTCTTGTCTTATATGAGAACGGTCGGTTCGTTCCTTGTCGTCTATTATGTGTCTGTCTTTAAGGAAGTCAAAAAACGTACTGCTTGCCGCCAGTCATGTACGCCCTCGTTCCATTTCTTTTCGAATTCTTGTCAAGTCTCTGTCTTAGTCTGTGTCTATGTCTAGTCGTTGTAGTTCTAATGTCCTGTCAAAGAGGTTGCACGCCACGACAATACTGCAAAATACCTCAAAGGCTAGCTTACGAGGAAGAGTATAGAGAGGAGTATAATTCTAATTTTTTAACATTGTCCTATGTTAATTTTGTAATTTTTTCATTATCTTCAGCCTCAGCAACAGCAACCAGCACAACCGGCAATCATGCAGGCTGTGTCACCACCAGCCAGCAGCCAGTACACAAGACCCGCACAGCAGGCTTCAGCGCCTCCACCAAATTTCACAACTGCTGATTTTCAGGTATGTCTATACTAATATATAATAAATCTACAGTAGTTTTTACGGATGTTCCATTATAACTACTTAACCATGCATCCATTTGACTTGAAACTTGGTATCTATGTAGAAAATACATGTACTTAATGGATAGGCTAATATTTAAATGATTGTTGGACTCCCTACACCAGTTGCAGGGGCGTTAATGATGAGAATCTTTGTGGGGGTGAGAAATAATAATGTTAATTTTAAATGCCCAGCGAAGCAGTCGGGTACAGCTATATTATATAAACTTAAACAAAGCTCTGATTGGTTAAGGTTGTAGTCATGTTTCCTTAGTTAAAGGATCGGTATGGGATCTTATGGGATCTCTATATGATATTCAACAAAATATTTGATCAAATCAAAATAATTCAAAATAAATTGTATTGACATCAGTATTTTGTCAATTACTGTAAAACTGTGTTCAAATGACTATTGATATGACTAAAGTTATATCTAGTTTTGTGATTAACTAAAAATTAACTACAAAAATGCATTAGATAACACCTTATCTTGCAAATACAAAACTATTTCATTGTTAATTTCTGTTTGGTAAGAATGAGTATAAGATAATCAAATTACACTTTACTTATTATATATTAAAATAAAATAAAATAGAAATTTACTAACAGTTAGTTTGGATGATTAAATCTGAAACCAAAATTACAAAAAATTATTTTTGATTTATTTTTTTGCTTAGAAGGTGGACGCGCTCACAGATAACCTGGTTGTTAAGTGGTTACTGAAGCCCATAGACATCTACAACGTAAATGCGCCACCCACCTTGAGATATAAGTTCTAAGGTCTCAAGTATAGTTAGAACGGCTGCCCCACCCTTCAAACCGAAACGCATTACTTCTACATGGCTGAAATAGGCAGGTTGGTGGTACCTACCCCTGCCGACTCACAAGAGGTCCTAACACCAGTAAGCCACCAAAAAAGCTGACAAAACAAAAAAAAACCGAAAACTTCATTACATGTCCAAGAGAAGCTACTAATCCTTGGCATTGGTTTCATGATATATGTAATGTACTTCCTAAAACTATGGTGGTGCCATACTTTGCTTGATTCTTAATGTTAATGAGCAAAATGAAAGTACATTATTGTTTAAAAATAATAATAATATATTCAATTTTGTCCTAGTAATTGCCTTGAATGAAGTTCAAGTATCCCATTCATATCGGAGATTCTTTGATTGTAACCAATTCATTAATTAAATTAGTCATAGTATTTTTTTTTATTTTTATCATTAAATTATTAGTCTTACTGGTGACAGTAATGCTTGTTCCGTCCTGATAATTACTATGGCGAAGAACTATTCTGAATCTTAAGCAGAGCTTTGATTTCACTACCATGTATATCTGGTACAAAACTGAACTATACTTAACATCGGTATAAAAAATCTCCCTGTTGTACAGTCATTTTCTAAAATTAGCCTAATTTACATAATGCATATAGACTAAAACATATAACATAATATTTATTTAATAAACTAAGCACTGATAGTCTGGTTGTATTATACCTAGTCAGGTCATAAGTATTGTCACACAGTAAAAACTTTTCTTTTAGAATGCTGGCCACAAAAAAGTTTATTGAATTCGAATTTCGAATTGTTCATTAAATTAAAACTGTATACTTTTTAGAATTTTACTCATTTTTTAATATGGAGTGGACGCTTAAAGAAGACCGTGTTGCAGTTATTGCGTTGCATCGTTGCGGTTACGCGCCAATTCAAATTTTTAACATACTGAAAATTTTGAATATAACCAAAAGATTCGTTTATCGTACCATCAAACGATACAATGAAGACTCTAGTGTAGATGACAGGTCAAGAAGTGGTCGCCCTCGGTCTGTTAGGACTCCAGCAGTGATAAAAGCTGTGAAGGCGCGAATTCAAAGAAATCCCAAACGTAAGCAGAAACTGTTGGCCCTTCAGATGGGGTTAAGCAGAACCACGGTGAAAAGGGTGTTAAATGAAGACTTAGGGCTTCGGGCATATCGAAGAAAAACAGGACATCGTTTGAATGCTCGTCTAATGGACCTGAGACTGAAGAGATGCCGCGCTTTGTTGAAGCGGTACGCGGGAAAAAAATATCGGGAAATTCTTTTTTCGGATGAAAAAATTTTTACCGTAGAAGAGAGCTACAACAAACAAAATGATAAGGTGTACGCACACAGTAGTGAAGAAGCGAGCAACCGTATTCCGCGTGTCCAACGAGGTCATTTTCCATCCTCGCTCATGGTATGGTTGGGAGTTTCTTATTGGGGCTTAACAGAGGTACATTTTTGTGAGAAAGGTGTAAAAAGGAATGCAGTTGTGTATCAAAATACAGTCCTGACGAACCTTGTGGAACCTGTTTCTCATACCATGTTCAATAACAGGCACTGGGTATTCCAACAAGATTCGGCGCCAGCTCATAGAGCGAAGAGCACACAAGACTGGCTGGCGGCGCGTGAATTCGACTTCATCCGGCACGAAGACTGGCCCTCCTCCAGTCCAGATTTGAATCTGTTAGATTACAAGATATGGCAACACTTGGAGGAAAAGGCGTGCTCAAAGCCTCATCCCAATTCGGAGTCACTCAAGACATCCTTGATTAAGGCAGCCGCCGATATTGACGTGGACCTCATTCGTGCTGCGATAGACGACTGGCCGCGCAGATTGAAGGCCTGTATTCAAAATCACGGAGGTAATTTTGAATAAACTTTAGTGTCATAAGAATCTATGTTTTTTTAAGTTCATTTTGGTATATGAATGGTTACATAATGAATAAACTTGTTTCAATTATTTTACATTAAACGTGTGACAGAATTTATGACCTGACTAGGTAGATAGTTGTAGTTTGTAGTGCAACGTAGGACGAAGACAAATGGCAGATGTCCCCGCATTGGTTCTTCAACATAGAGAGGGTATTACAACCGTTTCCGAATCAAAAGTGAATAATAATATAATAAGAAAATAATCATAAAGTGAACGACGCACAGTATTAATTTACAAAAAAACCCATAAAACCATTTTAATGAGTTCACAAAATTGTGGACCGTAATGTAAGGCGAAGACTGCTTGCCGACGAAACTGCATTCCATCTAAACCGGTGTTTCCCAACGTGGGGCCTACGCTCCCCAAGGGGGCTATTTGATAATTAAGGGGAGCAATCGCACTAAATTAATATAGAAAATCGGTATTAAAATTATTTTGAAATATTACCTTCTGTGCTTTGATAACAATTTCAACAGTGATTTCTTCCTTAAACCTATTATTTATGTTTCTTAAGTGAACAAATCAATTTATTTCGCCCGTCACTTTATTTGTATTTCATTGAGTTTTACGCGAAAATAGTAAATTTAAATATCTGAAAAATTTTAACGGTTGCAATACACTTAAAACGCGCATTCCACGCAATTATTGTGCTCTTTGGTTACTTCAAAGTGTACGTTAAAGAAATGGATTACAATTTGAGTATTGTGATGAATCACAAACTGGTTCGTAGTCATCGTTTCCGGAAACACTGTATGTAGGAACATGCAAAGTTTGCACTGCACAAGCTACATAGTTTTTCATTTGATGTACAATTATATTTAATTTTAATTTGATATGATCTGAGATAGTGGAATTTTAGTAACGTGACGCTCTTGCTGTTGTTTCAAAAAAACTTGATGTTGCTCACGGAATTACAAAAACGTTATAATTTTATTGTAATGCTGGATAAGACTTACAATTTTTTAATTTTTATGCAAAAAAAATATACAAGATGTCGCATTAAAAATGAGACACTTAAATCAATACTCGTTGAAATATAAATCGTTCTCGTATAAATATGGCACTGCAACAATAATATCGCTAACTTAAGCACTATATAGCCCCTACCATCATATATTAAATGGCTGCCACGAAGCATTGATGCCTTCCGGTTTGAAGGGCAGGTCAGCCGTCATCGCAGTAAAATTAATATTCATTTCCTTCACACAAACAGATGGGCCACCCATGATGGCAAGTGGTCGACCACATTTCACGAAAGCATCGTCAAGTTTTACAACAAGAAATTGAATCTAAGACAAATTATTTAATTACTGATAAAAGAAATAGGACATCAACATGATTAAAACTTCTCTCTTACAGTTAATCTCGCTTTATTTATGGTCATTAAATTATTTCTGACATTTCGAGCAATTAACAGTTTTCGTCAGCACAGTCGACTAAGATCTTTTAAGTCGATATTTGAATGTTGTGCTGGAAATTTGTAAATTGAACCGTAAATGTGGGTTTTGATTATCTCTACCGGAAACCCGGGGGAAATCTAATAGGACATAGTATGTACCAACATTTTGGGCCGAAAATGAAATCAGTATTTTCATTTAGAAAATTCCACTTCTCGGCTCGAGCCGCCATTATTAAGTCTTCATTGTGTTGAGCATGTCACTAATACGCACTTTTGCTTTTTTCTTTCAAACCGCACCAAGGAGTTAAAGGTAAACACCTCAATCCTATAGAATTCACTGAAAGCTTTTATCAGTACTTGTCATTTTTATCTTTGATCGATGGTATCTTTTTTGTAAACAATAAATGCGTATAAAAATAAAACGTACTATTAAATTAAATTACGGTTTGTAGTTACAGTTCATAGAAAAATCATTTTAGTATTTTTTTTTATTTATCACCCATTTAATTCAGCACCTAAAATATAGTTCATTAGAAAACATAATATTTGTTTGTGCATTATTATTAATCAAACATAAGTACGAAAAGTATAAAACTGCAACGTTCATTATCTTTAGAATTATTCTAACAAGGTAATCACGAAAATTGGTCGACGCTCGTAAAATGAGCGCGTAGGAATCATTTCCCGCTTCAAATGATGCGTCCCGTATTTAAGATCTGGAGATGTACATTTAGCACGCCTCTGTTTGTATTCATATTATTTGTATAGTGTTAGTGTGAAGTGTTATTGTTAAAAATGTCTGCTGACGAACTGCAGAGGCGACAAGAGGAGCTAGAACGGAAGGCCGAGGAATTGGCGCGGCGGGAAGCGGAACTCCGCGCGGGGTCGGCGGGTCGCCACAATAACTGGCCGCCCCTCCCGGGCTTCTGTCCCATACAGCCGTGCTTCTACCAGGATATCAACGTCGACATACCACTCGAGTTCCAGAGGATCGTCCGCCATCTATACCATTTGTGGATGTGTACGTATTATGCCTAATATAGGTTGGTTTTAGGTAATGTGACCATACGTCCCGATTTGGGCGGGCCAGTCCCGCTGTCCCCAGTGAGGCCGACATAGTTCTGCTTTTGCAAACAGAACATACGATAAATTCAATGCAACATAGAGCTAGAAGGGTTTAAATGGGCTAATTTAACAAAAGAGGTACATATTATTACAGAGTACTATTTTGTGTTATTCTATCTTCTGTAAGAAAATAGTTGTAAAGCACTAAATACTTTTTTTATTATATACCTCCGCAGAGGTTCCGCTTTGACAAAAAAAATTAATGGTCACGTTAGTTTTAGGTTATAGATGCGCTATGTCCTACAATAATAACCTAATAACGCGATGAAAACATGGAAATGAGATTTTCCGTGACCGTCTTGTAAATATACTTTGTTATCTCAAGCGCCTCAAAAGAAGGTTTCATGTTATCAATTATCACGTGTAAACGAGAACACACTTCTGAAACGCGTGACGTAGGTCAAGTATTGTAGATGAGCTATACAATAATAATGTTTATACCATAATTTTAATAATTTTTTTATTGCTTAGATGGGTGGACGAGCTCACAGCCCAACAGCACAACATAAATGCGCCACCCACCCTTAAATATAAGTTCTAAGGCCTCAGTATAGTTACAACGGCTACCCCACCCTTCAAACCGAAACGCATTACTGTTTCACGTCAGAATAGGGGCAAGGCGGTGGTATCTACCCGCGCGGACTCACAAGAGGTCCTACCACCAGTAATAAACCTACCTACCTGTGCAGGCTTATAATTCGCCCTATGCCCAATAATGTTGATATATAAATGTTCTTGTTTGGCTTATTCTGATTTTTTTTTCCTACCTATGCTGATAGCCTTGAGAGGCTATTTCAGCTTCGCCCTATCGTGTGTAGGTGAGCTCACGGGGCTCAAACCGGAGTGTTGCTAACACTGACTCTAGCAAGAGCAGTGCTTCGCAGAATCTATCACCGGATCGGAAACGCGACCCACTGGGAAGATCCGACGAGAAACTCAGTGGGCAAATTTTTTTTATTTTTTTTTATTTTTTTTTTTTCTTAGATGTGTGGACGAGCTCACAGCCCACCTGGTGTTAAATATTCTGAAGTACTCGATTTGTAAACTAATAACTCTTTCATTTGTTTTTTTTTGTCGTATCCTTAACACAGTCGACAGTCTTAGGGGATCCTGAATGTAATATTAGTTCGTGCTTGCTTGTATTTTTTGTTTATAATTTAACGTGTTTCCTTTTCAGTCTACGCGCTCGTCTTAGCTCTGAACATAGTCGGTGGGATGTCCATACTGTTCTCGGGCGGTGGCTTCACGACCTTCGGCCTCTCCATACTGTATTTCGTCCTGTTCACACCGTTCAGCTTCGTCTGCTGGTACCGACCGATATACAAGGCGTTCCGGAGCGACTCCTCGTTCAATTTCATGGTCTTCTTCTTCATATTCCTGTTCCAGATCATAATAACTGTGGTACAGTCGATCGGATTCAGCGACGGTGGTTCTTGGTGAGCTATTTTTAATGAATGAATGATTTATTTTATTTCAGACAACAAGTCCATACGTGTACGTTGGAACGTACGTTAAAATTAACAAAACTAATCAAATAAAAAAGATACATTTATTAAAAATAATTATCAGTTGAATACATTTCAAATATTCCATTCAACTGATACTTACTTCGAACCAACCATTATTATTATTATTTAGTCCGCAAGTTAATATTAATACGCGCATTTATACGAAGCATTCGATTTTATTAATTAACTAGCGACCCGCCCTCGCTTCGCTTCGGAAACATTAAATTTTATTATTGATAGGCGAAGCTCGCCATGTTGCGCGCGGTACGACAATAACTGCGGATGACGCCGCGGGGCGAAGCTAGTCTAAAAAAAATAGCCTAAGTTACTCTTTATATCATCAGCTACCTATCAGTGAAAGTCTCGTCAAAATCGGTCCAGCCGTTCCAGAGATTAGCCGGAACAAACAGACAGACAGACAAAAATAGTAAAAAATGCTATTTTGGTGTATGTACCGTATATATTATATTCATATGCATGTAGTAAAAAGAGGTCATTTCAATACGACAAACAGACACTCTAATTTTATTTATATGTATAGATTTTGCATAGCACGCAATGTAATAAAGAAAATCAACTGATTAATGGGGTGAATGACCTCGTGTGATGATTAAAAGAAATGCGTTGTTTGGCGAACACATTTGCTATTTTTTGTCTTTAAGAAATCGTTTACAATAATCTACAGACTGTATAGTTTGAAGTGGTCACTCCGAATGTAAAGTATTTTTTTACTACATCGTTCGATCTAGTTGAATAGTAAATAAATTTATATTTGATTAATTATAATAGTTAGTAAAATTGTATCAATACATTTGCTATATTCATTTTCAAAGGCGACACGAATATTTTTGTCGTTCATAATCGATATTATTATACAATAATCAAATACATTATATAAATACATTATATAGATGTAAACATCGGGAAGGTAAAAGTTATTTTGTTGTGTAACAGGAAAAAACTTCAGTTTACCTGTTTATCTATTTATGCTTGCGACAAAAATTAACTGTTGCCACCTTAGAACTTTAAAGTAGAATGAGGAAAAAAATTTAATGTTTAATAATTACTTTTATACCGCAGTTCGCTCTAAATTAAGGAAGTTTACTTGGAGCTTTGAGCTTTTTTTATGTTGAATTGTTTTGATAGTTTATTTTTTATTTTTTTATTGCTTAGATGGATGGACGAGCTCACAGCCCACCTGGTGTTAAGTGGTTACTGGAGCCCATAGACATCACGCAAATGCGCGACCTAGCTTGAGATATAAGTTCTAAGATCTCAAGTATAGTTACAACGGCTGTCCCACCCTTCAAACCGAAACGCATTACTGCTTCACGGCAGAAATAGGCAGGGCGGTGGTATCTACCCGCGCGGACTCACAAGAGATCCTACCACAAGTGGGTGGTTGGACCTCTCATCGTGACAAAATGTTTTTTTTTTTCATTTTCTGTATGCTTGGTGTAAGATTTTTTTCTTTCTAATTTATGTTTTTTTGTTCAACAGCGGTCTGATCACAAGTATCAGTCAGTTCAAAACTAACATAGCCGTTGGCATCATCACGCTGATGGTGACCATAGGCTTCATCACCTGCGTTGTCGCTGACGTAATGCTGTTGGCTAAAGTAAGCATTTATTTATTTATATATTACACTTCATGTAAAATTTACATGTGCGGACTTAATGTCTAAAGCATTTAATACCAGTCAACCAAAGGTAGTGCAGAGTAAATAGTAGTAGACATTTAAATAGTAAAATTACGAAAGAAATGTGCGTATTACCTTGATAATCTGCCAATATCTCTGTGGTATTAAAATAAACAGTTGGTTACATTACCATTCTGACGAAATGTTCAAATATTTCTGAATTTCGTCTTTTGTGACGTCATAGTTCAGTAAAGTTTTTAGTTCATTGTTCAACTTTGAAGGGTAAAGTGTCTACATAATTCTAGTGTAATTGGAGCTATCACCTAGAATAGGTAGGAAAAAATATATTAAAGTGCCTCGTTTTGCGAACCTAGCATAACCCTTTGATGTTACTAGAAAAGGTTAGAAAAAAAAGCTCAAGTCTAAAGTAAGTGCCAGTGTGGATCTTGTGGTCTCTTGTGGCTCTGGTAGTAGTGTTGCGTGTTAGCACAACATAATACGCTTCCAGGCTTCATTCAAGTTGAACGTGATCTCATCAAATTGAAACGAAGTTTGACTATATTCTTTTGTATTTATTTTTATACTAGTTAATACCACGTTTTAAGTCAGTACAAACACGTACCTAACCTTCATTCTCGCAATGAACCAAAGGGAAACGGGGGTGAAGGAAAATCAGCGCTATTCGATTTATTAATTTTGAACAGCATTCGATCCTCCCTTTGCCTTATTCCTTTTTTGTTTATAATTTCTTTTATTTAGTGGGAAAGGCAATAAATGATTTTCTTCTTATTATTATTTTCTTTTTTTAATTTTTGATTTCTCAAATAGCGCTGTTAGTATTTTAGTGGCATTTATGGACTCTGTCAAGGACTTGGGCTTGGCTAATTAGATGTGTTCTACTATTTCATGATGTGGTTGATCTATTTGCAGAAACTTTCTTACGATGCTCCACGTGTTTAATATAGCAGCTTTTTGAAGGAGCATGTAACTGTTAGGTTTCAGGTCAAGGAGGTATTACTATTATTATTATGTGTATTAATCACTGCCTCGCCTGAGAAGACGGCAGGACACACTCCGGCGAGGTGGGCAACAATCGGCCGGAGCGTTAGGGACTTTTGGGCGAGAAACCTGCGTACTATACGGGCATTGTCCAGCAAGACTGCTTTTTTTTGAATTGGGGCCACCACCGTCTTTTTGTTGAGACTTGTTATTATTATTCAGAAGCAGACCGAAGATTTGTTTTGGTTTTCTGGTTATTTGAAAACGATTGACGAAGAATGTTCGTTTCGGGCAGGTGCACCGCATCTACAGGTCGACGGGCGCGTCGCTGGCCAAGGCGCAGGCCGAGTTCACGACCGAGATCCTGCGCAACCAGCACGTGCAGACCGCCGCCTCCGACGCCGCCGCCGCCGCCGTCAACGCGCAGCTCGCCGGCGCCAACCGGTACTAAACGGTAACTCAACCTCTCCCTACATCACCACTCGCTCGGCTTTGCGAGCTTAAAATGATCCCCACCATCAGTAGAAATGTAGTAATCAAATTATAACGGATAGTTATTTTCAATGCCCTGAAACCCGTTCATTTCTTTGTAATCTTGAGGCTAAAAATCGTAGAGATAGGTAGTGATTAAAGAAGTTTTACGTGACATTAAAAATTAGTCATCTTGCGAGGTTAACGACCTTTTGTGACACGTGGACTGTGTCCGCCAGCTGTTTTGTTTTAGCTCATGCATTCACCAAATATGAACTTGCAACTACTTTAAGTACTAAGCTATGATTTCTTTTTTATTGCTTAGTTGGGTGGAAAGGCTCACGGCCCACTTAGTGTTGAGCGGCTACCGAAGCCCATAGACATCTACAACGTAAATGCGCCACCCACCTTGAGTCATAAGTTCTAAGGTCTCAAGTATAGTTACAACGGCTGCCCCACCCTTCAAACCGAAACGCATTACTGCTTCACGCCAGAAATAGGCAGGATGGTGGTACCTACCCGTGCGGACTCACAAGAGGTCCTACCACCATACATACAAACCATATTTGTTTCCCAGGTAAAAAAGAATGGAAAATTCAAAATCGAAGAACAATTCGTGTGAACGAAGACTTTAATAATTGACGATAATTATGACAACCTTCTTTCAATAAGGATGGACAGCTCGAACACTTAATTTATGAAACACAATAACACTTTGAAACACGTTAAAATACTTGAACGGCAACATTGTTATTACTTGGCTGTGCGATCCCTATTGTAAAACTAATACAAACATTATTTTATTGTTATTTGTAATTCGTTTTTTATTCTTGACGAAATGTTAACGTTACTCCAGCAATTATAAATAAGATTTTATTAAATACTATTATATATATAAACTGAAAATATTTATGAACGGCTGCAGTAAGTTAGTAAGATATTGTGCAACCTATGTACTTAGAAATATTTCATTTGGCGCATTTTTTTTATATTTTAATGTCATATTTTAAAGCGCATTTATTCAACGTTCGATTATTATTAGACTATTACCGGACGAGACGAGAGCTTACAAAATATGCTTTAAGAAAATAATATCCAATAAACACCCAAGGCTTTTAATACTTTTATATTTATTGTATCGATTACATGTACCAATTGAATTTTAGCAGGCTCAATATTTGCATATCTATATTTTTGTGTCCCTATACTGTTTAATGCAAAATTATAACTTGTGATGTGGAGTTCGAAACCTTTAGCGATTTTTAAAACTAAACTTTTAGATGTGTCTAACATTCCAAAGTGTACATAAATTATTAACGTCTCTAATTTAGTAGTAAATTGTATTCTCGATGTTCATTAAAATATATATATATAGTTAATTACCGTTAATCTGAATGATCCTTCTTGCCCTTCACTGAGACTTAGATGCACAACACTATAATGTATATGTATAGAATTAAGATATGAGCATATTCTTAAAACTAGTCAACCGACTAAACAGCTTTCTGAGCCAATATTAATCTGCTTTTAAAATGTTTAAATTGTTTCATCGTCGCGACGTACAATTAGTGCGTCATCTTAATTAAGATTCATTACGTAATCTGGGCCTAGTTTAATGTAAATTATTTAACAGACCGTCCTTACCCAGAATAAATGGTAAGCGAAGGAATGTAGTTTTTATCAGAATGTTTAAACTGTTTTGTAACAATTAAGTAATGTTATGAACTTATGATTAATAATAAATATAGTTTCAGAATATCTGTTTTACTTTGAAACCTTTATTGATATTAACATGAAAGAAGTGTAGAAAGTTATATAATTTAAAAGAACTTTTTTCATTACTAGCATTCTGTAATTAGGTTAGTTTCATGTAATTTGAATGAACGTCTCTAGTACTAGCAAATTGTTACGGCGTCTTTCCATCTTCTTCTTCAGTGCTCGTTTATTTAAAAATAATTCATTTAGATCACACCACCATCTTCAATTCCGTTTTTTGATTCTTTATTTTACTATTCCATAGGTATTGAGCTTGAAGATACTGGGTCGTTTTGGGAATGGCTACTCTATATCGAATCTTACTTAAATTTATTTTAGAAATTTCACACAAAGAATACCACAAACAAACAATGCACAAATCATAGTTATTGGATTTATTCACGTTTAACAAGCATCGTCATAATTTAAAGTTCATGACTATGAATTCTATTAGCAACTGCTAAATTTGCGGCGCGTTGGTGTGTGCGTGGGCCCCGAGACGCGCGGGGTCCTGGCTAGGGTAGTGCAGGCGGAGCGGGGCGGGGAGCGGAGCCGGAGGCGGGGGCGGCGCCATGCCAGGCGGACCCCACGGTCCCCAGCCCGGACCGCCATAGTGGTGCAAGTTGAAGAAATCGTTCGGACGGTTCGGAGGTGGTGGCATCTGAACACAGAATTTACAAAATATTACAAGTACGGTCAAAATTTTTTATTTATTGCTTGGATGGGTGAACGAGCTCACAGCCCACCTGGTGTTAAGTGGTTACTGGAGCCCATAGACATTACAACGTAAATGCGCCACCCACCTTGAGATATAAGTTCTAAGATCTCAGTATAGTTACAACGGCTGCCCCACCCTTCAGACCGAAACGCATTACTGCTTCACGGCAGAAATAGGCAGGTCGGTTGTACCTACCCTCGCGGACTCACAAGAAGTCCTACCACCAGTAAAGTAGGCTTTGTTCGGTAACCTTTAAAGAAAAGTAAAATATTTTACATGGAATTTAAAACATTTTTACACTAACTTGTGGCGGGAATGGATGTAAATATGCAGGGGGTGGTGGCAGTGTCCCAGGCAATCCAGGAACTGGTTCCAACATGGGTACACCATCATTCTTCTCAGTAAGTCCTTGTCGTCCTGTTATATACAACAACATTACACACTCATAAATATTACGAAATATAAACTTTTACTATCATATTACAGATTGAAGTCTTTAAATTAGACTAGTTTGAGTACAAACCTCATTTCAGAAAATAACTTGCAAAAAACATATTGAATACTTTTTTATAAATATAGTGTATTCTAACATTTTGTAGTTACCAGGTACTCTCTTAGAAACTTGCACAATGCAATAATAATGTTTTGTTACCTTGCGATTTACCCCATTTGATTGTCAGTCTCTTGCCAAAAATAACAAGACGATTGAAAGTCTTTTCTGCAGCATGTTCTGCAGCATTTCTTGAAGTATATTGCACAAAGGCACACTGGGCTCGAGGTACAAGAGTCAAACATCTGAAAATTCAATAACTTCTAACATAGTGCTAATTTTATCAAACAAGTCTAGAATAGTGATTTGTTTTCTAACGATACACACATTTCTAATGACAACACCACACCATTAATTTCATCAGCCTTGTGATGATGATCAAAATCTCAATTACATTAATAGATAATAAAAAAATACAAGGGAATACTACTGTGAACTGATGAGAAAAATGGTTGTAGCAACTTAAGATGGTGGTCATCAGATATCGGTCTTATTTTAAAAACCATAATACTAGGGATGTATTATGGTTTACATGATACATAATCCTTAAATTAAATATTAGTTAGTCAACTCTGAACATATGAGAATACTTTACATTAGCTGCATAATTTAAATAAAAAAATATTTAGTTTATTAAAACATAATTAAGATATATGCAGTGTATATCACCAGACACAATTATGAGTTTATTTCTATAAACTGTTTGTTTCCAGAGCATTGTTATTTGTTGTGTTAACTTGTCAAACTTACCTAATTTCACCATATTGGTAAAAGTGGCCTCTAAGCTCGTCCTCAGTGACATTATCAGGAAGATTACCAACATACAAAGTAGTAACAGTTTTGTCTTCAGGTGGAGGTAGAGCAGGCATTGCAGCAGCACGACGCATAAGCTTCTCAGCTACTGGATCATTTACACCATAATACCTGTGAATAAAAATTTGTGAAACCTTCAACTTTTTTTAGAAACACTAACAGCTATTTACTGTAAAATATCAAGAGATATTCAATTACAACTATGATATTGCTGTTATTTCATATACTATTATTACAATGGAGTTTCAATAACTTAAGCCTCATTGATTCGTAATCTTTAGTCATGATTTGGTTCATTTTTGGAACTCAAATGAATAATTGATCAAAATCTATGAATACCTTAAATCAAAAGAATTTTCTTGTAATGCAATTTACTAAAACTCCACTTTACAAAGACGTGTTTATTTTTATTTTTACTAAGCAGATGTACAGAAAACTTATGTGACTAACCTGTCTTTAATGTTCTGATCAGCTAGTGGATCATCAGGATCTGTTGGCTTCTCGTGACGATACGGACATTCTTCCCCTCGTCTACATTCTCCTTTGACCCAAAACGAGCACACGTGCGGTCTATTCCTCTTATAATATGGAGCTGTTCTAGCTAACCGCACCAACAAATCGGACGATCCTTTAGATTTTAGAGAATTGGTTGGCTGTGTTGGATCAGAGTTAGACAGCTGACTCTCCAAGTTTTGTATGTAATATTCCTTGTTTACTTCGTTTCGAGGTAGGTCATCCTGAACTTTTAATGCAGCATCTCTCACTTGGATTGGCAGACCATATTCCAAATCCAATAAACATGTTTGACAAACATTTTTCAGTTTCGAACAGGTCTGACATATTTCTGTTTTCTTGAAACGCATTCTTGCTCCGGGACACCATCGAAACACTGTGAAAGGTCTTGAGCATATTTTACATTCTTTGCCGTATTTTTCTTTAGTCTGAAAATAGTTAAATGAATAAAAACAATCAAAGTTGTCGAAATAATGTTATCGGAAACCACAATACATACCATTCTAATGTAAGGGTTATCTCCAAGACATGTTTGGCACAATATTGGAAAATCCTGCAAAAATATAACATGGTTACTACCACAATGAGATAATGATAATTGATAAGCTTCAAGAATATACTCACGGCGTCTTCCCAATTCTGACGATTGTATGTGTTTGTTGACTTCGATGTAGCCATGGCGTGTCCTTTCTTGATATTATTTTAGATTCAACGCAGCTTACCTGTGACAAAAATAATTGTTGAATTAGAATGTAATTTGTATCGTAAAGTTGAAATGTCATTTAGTTTAAATTACCTTATCAAACAAAACACTTATTTCCCATTTCTACATGCAATCATGCAACTAAATCACAAAAGTATTTAGTCACCAAGGTATCTAGTCACTAAACATTCATTTTGTAAAGAATGACAGATTTTCACTCTGTGAACGAACAGCACCTTAATTTTTTTTTGGTACAATTTTTCCTTATCAGAAATGCAATGGGATCTAAGCCCATACACTCTTGTCTGCTCTATATAATTTCTGAAATAAATTTTCAAAAAAGCCAAAGCCAGGTCTTATACGATTTATAATATATCCTGAAATAAAAATTTCAATAAGACCGAAGCCAGCACCATAGATTATACACTTATTATATTCGAACAGCACTGAAGTATGAAACCGTCGACAGTCGACTGGGCTCTGTAAATTTGGCCCCCTTTTTTTTATTTTCGGATTTTTTTATTTTTAATTATTTGTTCATCGTTTGTTCGTTAATGTTCGAATGTAAAAATTGTTTGTTCTTCTTTTGTTTATTTATAATTAATTAAACAAATGATCACCGTTAAGTGGCCCCCCCTTACTAGATATCTTAATTTTTATCGCTCAGATTAATTCATTTTGATCAATTATCGTTTGTTCGACAACTATTGGTGATTGTTCGGTCATAAAAACAATTAAATTTCCAATTATGAATTATTTTATATTAATGTAATACCGAAATACTTCACGAGATGGCGTTACAAAAAATCCCTTCCCAAAACTATAAAACCGTTGTGATTGTCTACTGAATAAATAATATTTATTCGTATAGTAAATAATATAATAACTAATATTTATTCGTAGGTGATTGTTTAAGATGTTATGAATATTTCAGTTTTGATTTCATCCAAATAACTTGAACTTTACTACTGAATTCCGAAAAAAATTCTAATGAAGGCTGAGTTAAGTTCAGTTTTTTATTTAAGCCTCTTACTGTAGTTTTTAAATTACATTTATGCAGATTGATGTTTCAAAGCTTTCAGATTTCAATTTTAAAATCTGAAACAATTAAGAACAGCGTCATCTACCGTTCACATTTGAAACAGAATTTAATTCGGTTCAATTTGTAAAAGTTGATGTTGATTATTATTACACTAATAAATTGAGCGTTTCATTAGCTTTTAAGCTGAGTGAGTATAATTTATTTTTATTCTATTGTCTATTTTTGTTAAGTAATAAATGAGCAAAAAATAATACTTAACAAAAAGATATAAAATCCGAAGGAAAACAGTTTCACTGTAAAAAATTGCGCCAAGTCAACGTTTATAAAACTCATCTCAATAACATTTGCACTTTACAAAAAAAATAAGACTTCAATAACTTTCATTCTCTACAAAAAGATGTGAAATACAAAAAAATACCAAGAAACTGTCATAATGTTGAAAAAATAAAAAAACAATCACCTACGAATAAATATTATATATTATATTATTCATTATACGAATAACTATTATTTATTCAGTAGACAATCACAACGGTTTTATAGTTTTGGGAAGGGATTTTTTGTAACGCCATCTCGTGAAGTATTTCGGTATTACATTAATATAAAATAATTAATAATTGGGAATTTAATTGTTTTTATGATCCAACAATTACCAATAATTGTCGAACAAACGATAATTGATCAAAATGAATTAATCTGAGCGATAAAAATTAAGATATCTAGTAAGGGGGGCCCACTTAACGGTGATCATTTGTTTAATTAATTATAAATAAACAAAAGACGCACAAACAATTTTTACATTCGAACATTAACGAACAAACGACGAACTAATAACTAAAAATAAAAAAATCCGAAAATCAAAAAAAAGGGGGCCTAACTTACAGAGCCCAGTCGACACTGGGACGAACATAGAGATTATTGATTTTTTTTCGCTTAAACAGACAAGGAAATCAAGAGCATACAGTAATGTTCTTTTGCAATGGAATGTAAATCCTATGTAGAATTAAGAAACTCTATGACTAAAGTAGTTGAACTACTTGGACTTCAAGGAAATCAATTGAAATAATCATTCAGTAAAAGGGGAATTCTCTGCAGGAAATGCAAATTTCATAGGAATTAAAAAATATCAAAACAGCGGTGCTACTAAGACGCATTGCCTCAAATCACTCATATCGGTAATTTGCTGCTACTACTACAACATTTACGTAATTTGACTAAAATTGTTCAACAAGTCAACGAAGCTATAAAATGCTATATCAATTTCCAGTTTTCAGCTTTATAAGTCAAATGGCCGTCACTGCCGGCGTTGGAACACCAGGTCGATGTTTCCATTCTTTTGTGTAACGACTGTTCCACTTTTTAAATAAATAAAAAACTTCATAGCAAAATAGAAAGCCTCTTGGTACTTAACCGTACTAGGTTAAGTTATGGTGAGCTGAGCAGAAACAGTGAAACAGTGTAGAATTAGCAATGTTTCTCAGGTCGTTTGAGTTCTGAGTTCTTTCTGTTTTCAACTTCTATTTTTACTACTTTCTATTAATTTTCATTACATTTCGAATAATCAATCACCTTCAGGTCTTATTATGATTACTGGTGGTAGGACCTCTTGAGAGTCCGTATGGGTAGGTACCATCGCCCTGCCTATTTCTACCGTGAAGCAGTAATGCATTTCGGTTTGAAAGGTGGGGCAGCCGTTGTAACTATACGTGAGACCTTAGAACTTATATCTCAAGGTGGGTGGCACATTTACGTCGTAGATATCTATGGACTCCTGTAACCAGGTAACACCAGGTGTGCTGTGAGCTCGTCCACCCAACTATGCAATAAAAAAAAATTAGAATAATTTTGGATAGTTATTGATCTATTACTTAAATCTTACGATGAAATTTTATAACTAAAATCCCTTAACGAATAAATGTACTACTGAGAGAGGGCACATGAGAAATTAATTAGAAAAGTATTAGTAGAATTATTGCTTGAGGAGACAAATTTGAACCTAATACCAAACCAACTAAATGTCTTCACGGATGGATACAAAGTTTTTTTTGACGAGCTAACGGCCTACCCGGTGTTAAGTGGTTACCGAAGCTCATAGACATCTACAACGTAAATGCCATCACCCACTTCGAGACATCTTAGTTTTTACAGTGCAATGGCTGTTCCACCCTTCAAACTAAAACGCATTACTGCTTCACGGCAGAAATAAGTAAGGTGGTACCTACCCGTGCGGACTAACAAATCATCGTACCACCAGTATCATGGAGAGTGGATACAAGCGTTTTCTCAGAGGGCAACGGTATCATACTGAAGTGTAATAGATTTGTAAGCTAGCGGGTAAAATACTTTAGGATTCTAAGATCACTGGAGGGTCTGATTGACTTCCTGTAGGGTCTGGGTTGGCATTAGTAAATATTCCCAATCTTACTGTCTATGACGTCAAGTATTGCAAAATTGTTCACCTTTCAAGATATATGTCACACGTACATACATATGGACAGGGACGTCTTAAACTAGGATGGGGCCCTTGGGCACACAATAATTTGAGGAACTAATTATAATAACATTTTTTACTGAGTATGACCATTTATTATACGTAATCAAATACAGGATGATATAAGATGTCATTAATGATATTAGAATGCTGCTGGTTTTTTGGTTACGATTTCGCTATCGGGTTCTTTCGGGATTTCTGTTGAGCAAAATCTTCTATCATAAGCATAGTATATGCCTTCTAAATACCTTCTGACTACTGATTTGTGAAAAAAGTGTAATGTGCCCGACAAAAATGTTTTGAGAATAAACGTGTAAGAGAAATTGTCGGTCTTTCGTGGCCCCCTGAGAATGGAGGCCCTGGGCACGGGCCCCGTGTGCCCTTATGGTAAAGACGGTATTGCTTATGGATCATGTTTCTTTTGCCTCATTGATCCAAGAAATTAAACTAAAAATTAAAGGGAACTGGTACTAGTGATGTGAACCGATTACAATTTCTGGCTCCGGCTTATTACCGATTTGTTTCTCAAAAAACCGGTTTTATAAGGTATTTTTAGGTTTTTGTCATAAAGGCTAAATAATCATTAAATAAAACAAATTTACGTGCAAACGAAGAGTTTTCTTCATACAATTAATAGGGTGTGTATATTTTATATAAGCTTAATGATCTTATATTATCCAATAATAAAAAGCTTTTTAGTTTTGATTTAATACTATTGTATTTTTTTCTAAGTAGGTTTTTCTTATATTTTACATGGTAATTGTACTGTACTTTTTAAATGTAATGCACGGTAATTTGAGTCTCAAACACGGCATTTTTTATCTAGTGGCACGGTAGTTTGTTCGATCTGGTAGCAGTGGTGTGAACTGTGAATGTAACGCGTACTTAAAAACCGATATTCTTAAATAAGAACCGGTGTTTATCGGTATCTATAAAAACCGGTTTCTCTCCGGTTTTCTTCGAACCAGGTTACATCCCTAATTGGTACCCATGAAAAGTTGTCCAAAAAAATTGTAAAATTCGAAAATTCCGAAATAATGTACATACACTATTTGTTTTAATTAGGAAACTAAAGGTTTTAAGATCGCGCTTCTGGCTTCTAGTAATCATGTCCATTACAACTCTGGTATAATTTAAATGTGTACTTAATTCTTCAGTAATTAAACACCGGTTCCGATTTTAAGTCAAACCTTTTTTCAGTATTATTTACAATTGAAAAAAGAAAATGCACACGAGGATGCAATTTGGTGTTGTACTTGGAGTAGGATAGAACCCGAGAAACCGAAAGAAGGCGAAAATGATACAGAAAATGCAGAGGAATTACAGTAAGTAATCCTAATTCCATATGCCACTAATAAAAGCTTCAGAAATAAACTTTAAAATAAATATAATTTAGTAATATATAAAGATCTTAAAGTGGTAAGCATCATATAAACTTATACTGTAATAGAATATTAATTATACTAACCTGGCCTAAAGTACTAAATACAACCTATGAAACCTAAACATAATGTAACATGAAAAGAAAACAGTTTTAATATTAAGTTATTGTAGTGTTATTAATGATCTGTGATCTTCACAATTGCTTGATGAATTGAAACCTTGATATTCAAGCAATATCATAATTCCCGATGAGAAGTGAGTAAATGTTGTAGCCTTGTTACAATTAGTTACAATT